GTTGACATCTTTTGTTGCTTGTGATTTTGAGTTCAAATCTGTGATTCCATTGCCAATCAATACCTATTTTTTGAGCACCTACCATTTACCAGAAACTAGGGATACTGTGGTGAATAAAACAGACTTGGTCCCTGCCCTCTTGGAATTTAAGCCTAGTGGGGGCAGGGGAGATAGTAATCTAATAACTGCTTGAATAATTTCTCAAGTGTGACAAGGGCTGTCAAAAGGAGCAAAATGGGTGAGGTGCTAACCTAGCCTGAGGGGCAAGGAAGGCTTCCCCAAGGAGATGACATTTAAACTGATATCTGAAGGATGAGTGGGAGTGGGCCAGATGAAGGGGACAAGGAATAGAGGGAGGAGTGTTTCTGGAGAGGGAACAGCATGTAGGAATCCCAGAATTCAGAAGATATTCCTCTTTCAAGGCATAGCCAGGATGACTGTGTGGCTGGATCAGAGTGAGGAAGGGTGACTAGGGAAGGGATGAAATGACTTAGGGAGAGAATGTAGAGTGAAGAGAAAGTTTCTGGGACTTCAGCCTGGTAAATGCCAGCAATTAAAGCCATAGGAGTTCATGGAAGACGAGAAGAGAATTTCAAGGTGGAAGAAGTAGCCAACATTGGCCAGCGAGGCCAAGAAGTGAACTAAGATAACGACTTGCATTTGGCAGATGGGAGGTCATCATGGAAGACCTTCGAGAAAGCAGTTGTGCTGGGATGATGAAGGCAGAAACCAGAACGCGGATTGTTGAGGAGTGATTAAGAGGTGGGGAAATGGAGGTGAGTAAAGAGGGGAGGAGACCTCTCTGAGAGGCTTAGCTACGAAGAGAAGAGTCACAAGATTGGGCCAGAAGGCTGGGGGAGACTTGAGTCTGTTTGTCACTCAAAGGGCCTTGCTCCTAGTAGGAACTCAATAAATGTCATTGCACAAACTAAACTGAGGGTGACCGTGAAGTCACAGGAGAGGGCCAACTGATGGAATAAGGCCCTGGGAGGAGATGGGTTTGAGAGCATAAGTTACAGTTTGAAAGGAGACAGGCATGCTTCTTTGTTAAAATGAACAGAAAGAGTGAAGACACTCAGAGGCTGGGTGTGGAATGTAGGATATGTTGGGTTGGATGGGAGGAAGGCATTTCCACAGATAATAGGGTCAGGAGATAGAGGACTTGTATACTTTTATTCTCTTCAGAGGATTTCATATTTAGTTCTGACTTCAGTTTACGACTTTATCTAGAAACAGTATCTTTAATATTTGATGGGCACTTACTTGTTAAGTTGCTGCTTTTACTTCTGTGGGCTGAGAACAAGGTACGCAGCTTGATACAATTATGTCTAAAGTAAAAGAATGTTGTAAAGAACATCAAGCAGAGGAAACAACAGGGCCTTTGAGAAACAGTCACTCATTTGGCACAGAGATAAAATAATTTGCAATCAATGTTAACACATTTTGGAGATGGGATATTACAGGTAACTGCAAGATTCCTCCTGGATTTAGGCCAGCAGGTAAAATAGTTTCACAAGATTCTGCCGAGCACCTTTCAATTTTTCCAAACAACAGCTGTCATTTCCTATTTCCTTTGTGTCCTGCAGCATTTTAGGTGTTAACACATATATTATCGCCAATCCTCAGGACAACCCTGCAAGGGAGATTGTATTGTTCCCATTTTGGTGATGAGGAAATGGCAACTCAGAGGTGAATGATTTGTTTAAGGTCACTACTCAGTAGATTTGAATTTTGCTCCAGGGGCTGCCAGGTAGGGGGTGAGGAGGTCCTGAGCAGCACTGCATTTGTTAGTTATATACATGGGCCTTCGAGGTAAGCTTCATTAGCGCAAAGGCTATGGAGAAGAAAAAAATGTTCAAAAACTACTGACCTCCATAGGGGTCTCTGAACTTCACCGCTGAAGAATGACTTTTCTTGAAGCGTTTCTCAAGAAATGCTTTGCTTGTGTGACACGTTTTCCCCCAGTTGTCTCTCCTAGCACATCCATCCTCCAAGTGACTGGCAGAGTGATTTTTCTGAAATCTCATGTTACTCCTTTGCTTGGAAAACTTCTATTGCTCCCAGCTGCCTTTAGGTGAAAATCAAGTCCTCTTGTAGCATAAGCTGTGAGACCCTTAGTGATCTGGACTCCCACCCACTTCTCCAGCTTTGCTGCCAAACCGGCTTATTTATATTTCCTGATACTTGCTGTGCTCACCCATACATACTCCAGCGGCTCTGCCAGGAGGCCCCTCCTGCCCTCTCCACTGAGCATCTCCCACTCATCCAGTGCCTCAGGTCAGGAATTATCTTCCTCCCTGAATGCCTTTCCTGAACCTTTCAGCCTGGGTCAGACCCTACCCTCTATGCAGCAACCCTCCCCCCATGTTTACCTGCTACAGCCTAGCTTTTGTCTCATTTTCTTGTCCCCAGGCCCCATTAGAATGCAGATTTGCATTATCTGCTTAACTCTGTTTTGCTCCCCTGGAAAGAAATTTCTCAGGGAACTTGTTCTTTCTCTTGGTGCAAGCATACCAGTCTTGCCTCGAAGAGCATACCAGAAATGCCAATGGCTTGATGTTAGGCATGGAGAGTTTTCAGCATGGGTGTTTGTCCCCTGCAGCCAAACCTCAATTTTACATGGAGAACGTAGGCTAGGCAATATCACATGATGAGAAAAATCTGTGGGGAAGAATAGCTGACTACAAGAAAAACTATAGAAAGTCGCTTTCAAATCTTCCAGCTGACTTGGTTTTCATTTTGGAGAGCAAGGTGGATGCTAGTCGCAGGTCCCCAAATCTGCTAATAGTTAAGATGCTTAGGTTCAAACGTTGCCTGTGAAAAGAGGACAACTGTTAAAAGTGTCCTTTGAATGTTGGGCAAATGCACACACCAATGTTCCCTCCAAGCCAGGAGCCAGCCAACTTAGCCATGTGGCAGGAAGGCCCTGCCATGACAGCCTTCACCAAGCCCAACTCTTCTTGGCAGCTGTCAAAGAGGAGGTTGTGGAGCAGAAACCGCCATCTTGTATCAGTTAACCAATTTGTATCTACAAAATGAGCACAAAACGTGGAGGGTGTTTATGCCAGCTGGTAATACCAAATGCCAGAAGCCAGGAACTGCTCACCCTCTTCCCTTCAAACATCAAAGAAGTTCACTTAGAAGAAGAAAAAGAAAAGACTACATTACACTGTGTAAATATGTGTTGATGAAAAATATCCAGCCTAAGAGAAAACTTATAAGAGTGTATTTGAGCCAAACTGTCGAAAATTGCAGGGAAGCAAAATCTCAACGATTGAGAAAATGCTCCGAAGAATGGCAGTTTTACAGCTTATTTTATACATAAAATCAAAGGAGGAAGGTTACATGAAATCCATTGATGATAGATTAAGGGGGTGGGAGAAAGGAAAGCGAGGACATCTTTGGGATTGGATAAAAGTACATTGGAGACACAGGTACTCCTCCCACACAGGTGGGTGCAGGATAGCTAACAGTTCCTTTTATACAGCACATAGAGATGGTAATCGGGAGACAAGCATAATGAGGAATTTTGCAGTTTCCAGCTCTGGTCCGGAAAAAGGGTTAAAGATGTTATCTTAGGCACAAAAAGACAAAGGACAGGCCCACTGAAAAGGCACAGATTAATTAATGAGGAAGTTCCTGATGTGACTTCCCACCATGGCCCACCTTAGTTAGGAATTTTTATGTTCGCACCATCCTCTGTGGTTATTTTCAGTCTCCTGAGCTTGTCAGGTTTAACATGTGGCCCCTTTTCCATCCACATATGTTTAAAGTGTAGTTCCTAGAGACATGGGACAGGCTGAAAACATCAATAGGAAGGGTTTGGATCATTTCATGAATGAGAAGAAAATAATGGGTTATTAAGGGCAAGTGGGATCATTTGGGGGTACAGAGGATGTAATAAAAGAGGGTAAACAGGCTGACAGGGTAGAGATGGAAATAGGGATGGATGGGCTCAGGATGGTGTTTCTGTGTTCTGTGATGACTCAGTTTCTCCCTGGTGTTCAAGGACTGGGGTGGGAGGGCTGGGGACACAACAGTCCATTGCAAGGGCTATCCAAGCCTCCAGGGATACAGCACCATTTTAAAAACACACTGTTCTCTAAGGCATCATGGAGTTCTAACCTCCAACTGCTTTTCCCTCTTTTCAGTTCTACTTCTAAATGGGAACAAGTTTCCAAACTACAACTTACTAAATGTAACTTTTAAATAACCAGTGCTGGGTCGGCCTAGTGGCTCAGCTGGTTAAAAGCGTGAGCTCTGAGCAACAGGGTCGCCGGTTCGATTGCCATATGGGCCAGTGAGCTGTGCCCGAGACCGGTTGGACTCCCACATGGGATGGTTGGCTATGCCCACCGGCAACTAAGATAGAACACAGCACCTTGAACTGAGCGGCCGCTAGCTGCCTGACGGGCAGCCAGATGGCAACTGGACTTGGAGCTGAGCTAGCTGCGCCCTCCACAACTAAAATTGAAGGACAACAACTTGGCTGTTCCCCTTCCCCAAGTCCCCAATAAAATCTTAAAAAAAACCCCAACCAACCCAACAAACAAAAACATTGCTGATGGTTAAAGCCCTATCTTGGAAAAAAATGCCAGTGAGTATGTCTCATTGGAGGGCAGAAGTCCAGGTAAATGACACGACTCACCACAAAATATCAGACAGGTACATTTGGAAGCGTTTCCCTTTTACCAGCTCTCTATCCCCTACAGACAACTATTCTAGGAGGAAACGTGTGCAAGAGGCCAGACTTAGATGCTCAAGAGCCCAGTACATACGTAAACTGTGGGTCTCTACCTAGAGCCAAGGTGAAAGGAGCTCCTTCAGTGCACATCTCTGCCACTTGCTCTGAGAATGAGGTCCTGGATCACTAGCTCATGGCCATGGGTGGGTGTCCTCTTCCTTGCAAAGGTAGGAAGCTTCCCTTAGGTGTTTAATGAAAAAAAAGTAACACAAAGAACAGCTTTGTCATGTGAAAGGAAAACAGAATTCCACTTTAATATGTTTAATAAGTCATCCGTGTTACATTAGAAAAGGTACCGGTAAGGCCTGGTTGTCTCAGGAACAGAGTGCCTGGGGTTGACTACAGCAGCACAAAGTGACCCCTTAATAACCAAGTCAAGCCTGAAGTTAGGCGCTTCCTCTGCACCAGTGGTTTACAGTCTTAACTCATTCTTCTAGCAAATGTTTCCTAATAAACCCAGAGCTTCCGCCTGCTTAGAAATGGCTACTGGAAGCTTAACTTTCCCTCCCCCAGGCAGGACCATGCTCCTGCTCCTAACTCCTTTTGGAACTCGGGGCCAGGACAGGTTAGTCTGTGCTCCTTCTGGGTTAGGGGGGCCCTGGTCCCCGGGTCTCCTGGCCAGTGGCTGCAGGAGACCTGTGACAGGTACCTGAGGCAGACCCCTGAGGTGGTCTGCTCCTGGAAGGCACGGCGCACTAGGCCGCGTCCTAGGCATTGCCCCTTCAGTGGGACACGGGACAACCAAGGACCAAGGCCTCACCACAGGGTCGCAGTCCCTCCGCGCTCTCCAGTCTAAGTCTCCCTCAACGGTCCTTGAAGAAGGGGAACATTTGGCGAAAAAAGCCTTGAATTTGCGCTACCCGGCTGCCTGTGGAGTCCTTCTTGCGGGGCAATGCCGCTGCTCTGGCTGTTGTCTCCATGGCCGTCGCACCCACTGCATTCGGAGTCTTTGGCAGCGTCCACACCGCGCCGCCGCTGCTGTTGTTGTTGGCATTGTTCCGCTCGCTGCAGCCCGCTGTCTCCCAGTCCTCCGCTCCCGACAGCTCCAGTAGGCTCCGGGGAGCGTCGGGCCGCAGGTAGTGACAGGCCCGGTGGCCGCTGTGGTCGCGGCGCGTGGGGTCAGCCCCCAAGGCGCCCACCAGCACCTTGATGACCAGGTCGTGGCCCTGCTGGGCCGCCAAGTGAAGGGGCGTGAGGCCGCCGCTCCCCGGGGCGCTCACGTCGAGCCGCAGCCCCCGGCACTGGGCGAAGTTGTGCGCCAGGATGAGCTCCTCGTGGCGCCCGTGCTTGGCCAGCCAGTGCAGCACCGAGTAGCCCGTGATCGGGTCGCTACGCAGCAGCAGCCCCGGCTCCGCTTCCAGCAGCTCCCGCAGCGCCTCAAAGCGGCCCTCCGCGGCCGCCAATATCCAAGCGTGCTCCTGGGGCTCCAGGCACAGCCTGCTGCCGCCTGCTCCGTTCGGCCCGCCCGAGGGCTGCTCCTCGGCGCGATCCTCTGACAGCCACCCGGCGGAAGCCGCCCCTTGCAGCCCCAGCAGCTCCCTCAGCGCTCCCCGCCGGCGCCCCGAGCCCGCTGCCGAGAGCATCAGCGAGCCGTGGAAGGGGGGCTCCTGGGAGGCGGCGGCGCTGCCCAGGTACCTGCCCAGGCTGCGGGCGTCCACTCTCGAGGGGCGGGGCTGTGGGGCGCTCCGCCGGCTCAGCGCGCTCCGCGTCGGGGAGGCCCTGGGCTCCGGGGACGCGGTCCCTCGGGGCTCGGCCATGGTCCTGCAGCTCCGCCGCGGTCCCCGTGTCTAGGTTTGCGGCCCTTCCCGGGCCCCACCGGGAGAGGAACTGGCGCTGGCGTTGGGGAAGGAAGCGGCTTGAGCAATTGGGCTTGGAGGGAGGGAGGGAGCAAATGAGGGGAGGGGAGGAAGGAGAGAGCGAGCTAGCAGAGGGAGGGCCGCAGTAAGGGCGTGAGGGGCATGGGGGGCGTGGAGGGGTGGAAGCTCTGGCTGAGTCCCAGGGCAAACCCATGTGCCGCACCCGGGATACCGCCGCCACCTCCGTTCCCCAGGTCGCGGACCGCCCCGCCCCAAACGGCCAGGTGAGCTGGGCAGCCCGTTTCCCGGCCCACGCCGGCAGAAGAGGGGCGGGCGCTGGGGAGGGCTGCAGGCGGGCCCAGAGCGTCGCCCGGAGCAGCCCAGCTGCCCCAGCAGCCGTTCTCGACATCCCTGCAGCAGCTGGGGTGAAGAGGCTCCAGAGCGCCCTCTGCCCAGCGGGCTGAGCTCGGCTGCCAGCCAAAGCCTCCGGGACGCTAGCCTGGAGCTCCAGGGCGCTCGCTCCCCGCCCCCTTCTTTAGCCGTCGCTCTTATCTCCTCAGGAGTCTCCCTGCACTTTGTCCCCGAGCCGTCTTTGTGTCGTGCCTAGCATTTACAGAAGCGGCCTGGTTGTGCCTTGTGACGCTGGCTCGCCTGCCCTGCCCTTTGCGCTGTCTGGACCCTTCCCGCAGCGTCCCGAGCTACGCGGGATTCCTGCAGAGAAACCCGAGACAAGAGCCCAGAAAGACGCCCTGCCACGAAACGGAGAAGGGGTATTCCCCTGCCTCCCTGCAGGTCCCTGCTCCGCCCTCTTCTTCCCTCTTTGACTTCTACCAGGTTGTCTTAAAGAAGCAGGTGCAGGTGTATCTGAGTCAGCCCTCCTCAGAAATGTGTTCTGCGTTCTCCCTCGGGGACCTGGTGATTTCTGCGAATTCAGAGCTGAGGGGCTTTTAAAAGAGGAAGATATTTTACCTTGTTACTCCTAACACTTGCCTCCTCTTTGTTCTTTCCTTCCCTCAATAAATCCACTCCCAAGTTAGGGAGTTCAGTCAATGAGCAACCTGGAGCCATAGCAGGTTCTTGAGCCAGAGAGGGACACAGCCATAATTAAAGTGGTGTTTAGGAAGATGATTCTGGGAGAAGCAGAGGCAGGAAGCCACGAGGCTGTTCCAACAGTCTAGGCCAGAGGAGATGGGGGCTTAGCCCAAGCCAGCCCACTCCAGTGGGCCCAGGTAGGTATGATGGAAGGTATCAGAGGCTTTTCCTCCTTGGCCCTCAACTATTTGGGATCAGCCCTAAATATCTCAAGCTTTCCTTCATGACAGACTATGCATTTGTAATAAATTTTTGAACATTTACTATGTGCCAGGCACTGTGTGAGATGCTTTATATATGTTAACATTTTTAATCTTCCCACCGACCTTAAGAGCTAGGCATCGTTACTATCCTCATTTTGCAGAGAGGTTAGGCCACTTGCCCAAGGTCACCCAGCAGGAAGTGGCAGAGCAGGTCTGTGTGATACCATAGCCTTTGTTCTGGCACAGAGCAACTGGCATTCAAGCCAGGCTTATCGACTGCAAATCACCCACACAAGCCCCAAGTTCCAGCCAAACAGATGGACTTGTCCTAACCTGAGCATACCTTCAACTTAACTAGGATATCCTTCTAGAAGGTCCTCCCTCACAGCTTCTGTCTAGTGAAGTTGTTTTCCCTGTCCTTCAAGGTTGGCCTCAGTTTCCACCTTTTCCAGGAAGCCACCTCCGATTACCCCAGCCCAGAGCGATCCCTCTTCTCCCAATCATTTGTTTGTATTACTCCTTTGGCACCTGGCACAGACTGCCTTGCGTTGTATGTCTCTCCCCAATTACACTCTAAACTAAACTCTTTGATGATTGTCACACTATCCTTGTGCACCTAGTAGGTCTGTGAGAAATATCTGTTACCTTGTTCTGGGATTGCAGCCCGGGAAAATGTGATTGTGTATATATGTGGTAGGGGCATTTTATGTTTGTGTTTGGGGGGGTGTCTCCAGCCAGAACCTTGATGCCCACTCCCACATTCCTACCTCAGCCTGAATCTGCCCAACACCAAAAGCAACTCATAGATTTGGTGAATTCATTAAAAAATAATAGTGATCAAGTGGTTCATTCATGGAGCCCACTAGCCAAAGCCACCTCCTGGTCTTTGCTGACTCCTCAGACGCCAAGTCCAGGCCCAGGCCCAGAGTGGGCCCCAAGCTTTCAGGCTTTTATTTTCAAAATGAACCCTGACTGACAAGCATTTACTTCCGTTGCTCTGGAAACTCCCCTCTGAAACCCCAAATGTGTAAACACCAAACCACATGCATGCACACACACTTCCAGAATATGCAAACAGCTGCAGCAATATTTTTTTAAATCAAAATGCCAACATGGAGGCTGCAGGATAGAAGAATGTTTGGACTATTAATTTTCCTCACCACTAAGCAGGCAATTCCCTTCCCTATCAGCACTAATAATATCTCTGGTTCCAGTTCAAAGATTGCAAGGGCAGTTGCCTGACCAGCACCACAGACCCATGACGCATGTGCCTTTGCTGAACTCTGTTGCCAGACACCCACTTCATCTTTACTTAGCAAGTGCTTTCTACCCTAGGTCACCAGCTGCATACATGCTCCCCAGAATGTCAGCACCCATCTCTATTTTAGCAGAGAGGGTCTCTGGGACGTGGGGGGGGGCAGATAGAGGGATCAGAAATCGGAAGGGATAGTATCCACCCTCCTAAAACGAAGATGCCAATCACCTGAGGCAGCTGCTCCTCATTAAGGGAGAGGGGCAAAAATCCCTCAAGCCTTGCAAAACAGCCTCCCCCAAAATTAGATGTAAGGTGAGTATTTGCATTTGAGATGGTGGTACCTGGTGTCTTTTCCAAATAGCAGCCTCTAATGTATTTACAGGTTTGTTTACGGAGCCTGGGACCATTTGAACTGGAAGATACCTTAATGCTTCATTGGTCGTTTCTTCATTTTCCAGATGAGATTTAAATAACTGTCAGAGAGATTGGTAAGAGGCAAAGGAACTTAAAGCAGAAGTGTTGGGCATACATTGAAAATCAATATCGATTAAGAGAGAGAGGCTCAGATATATTACTGGAAGTCAGTGGGGGATATACTGTCCTGCAAAAAAACTAATTTACATGCAGCCTTTCAAAACATGCTCCTGGGAGAAGCCAAAGGCAAGAGTCTCTGACTTTCAGTGGAGTTTGCCAGTGGGGCTTATGGATCCAGAAAAATCCATGGATGCAAACAGGTGAGAGGTGAATATGGGAAGTAAAGTCCCTCAGTCCCTCACAGGCTTCCATAACCCTTGCTGATAGAGGGAACAGGGAACGATTTTTCTTTCTTTTTCCTTTCTTCCTTCCTTTCTTCCTTTCTTTCTTTCTTTCTTTCTTTCTTTCTTTCTTTCTTTCTTTCTTTCTTTCTTTCTTTCTTTCTTCTTTCTTTCTTTTTCTTTTTCTTTTCTTTTTTGGCTTAAACAACAGAAACTTATTTTTCATGGTACTGGAGATTTGAAGTCCAAGATCAGGGTGCCAACATAGTCATGTTCTGGTGAGGGCCCTTTTCTGGTTTGAAGATGGCCACCTTCTGGCTGTGTGCTCACATGGTAAAGAGAGCTCTCCTGTCTACTCCTCTTTTTATAAGGGCATTAACCACAGGGAACATTCTTGAGGTTCCAGATATAAAATAGAAATTTTCTTTCTTCCAAAGACCTGTGCTGATAGCATAACATGATTTTCAGTGAGAGAGCAAGCCATGAAACAGAAACAAAAGTGTGTGGCTGTGAGAGTGTGAGAGTGTATGTTTGAGTGTGTGTGTGTGTGTGTGTGTGTGTGTGTGTGTGTGTGCATGCACTGCCAGATGTCACTGTCTCTGGTTGTCATTTTCCCCTTTCCAAGTGCCAGGGCTTTATATGAGAAGACCCCTGTGAAACGTTTAACATTCCGAATACCTTTTCCTTAGACTATGGAACAAATAATTTAGTAAACACTTTAAAAATTATTTTCTAGTATTTCAGAATGTTGACGAAAAATATCCAGCCCAAGAGAAAATTTATGAGTTTATTTGAGCCAAACTGATGACAATTGCCAGGAGGCAAAATCTCAACGGATTGAGAAAATGCTCCAGAAAATGGCCGTTTTGCAACTTATTTTATACATTAGAATCAAAAGAGGAAGGTTATAGGAAATCCATTGGTTGTAGATTAAGGGGGTGTGAGAAACCAAAGCAGGGAAATCTCTGGGATTGGATAAAAAGTAAAATGGAGAGAAAGTACTTCTTTTACATAGGTGGGTACAGCATGATTAATAGCATTTTGCAGCAACATAGATAATATTTGGGGAACAAGGTAACAATGAGGGGCTTAGTAGTTTCCTGCTCTGGTGTGGTGGGTTGTGCCCCCTGGGGGCTCCGGAAAAAGAGATTACTCTGATATTGTAAGGGTATGTTATCTTAGATGCAAAAAGACAACAGACAGGCTTAAGGTAAAGATTAACCTTTGTCAAGGAAGCTGCAGGCCAAGGATGTGACTTCCTGCCATGGCCCACCTTTGTTAGGAATTTTTACATCCATGCCATCCTCTGTGGTTATTTTCAGTTTCCTGAGCTTGTCAGCTGTAACATGTGGCCCCTTTTCTATTCCCATTTCCCCCTTTTGGTCACAAATCAATCCGAAGGATGCATGGATTACCAACATTGGATAGTGTGGTCCCATGGCGCTAGGAACGCTCATTCCTAGGAAGTCTTAGTGTCAGCGTTTGTCTTGCTGAATGTTGGACCATTGGGGGTGGAGCAATACTATAACCTCAGATGGCAGTCAAGGCCGAATTATTTATTTATTCGTTTTCAAAAAAACGTGAGCAAATGGGAGGCAGTCAGATTCTATATGTTTTTATTAAATATATTCTGGATCATATCTAATCTTTGAACTATCATGATCCGAGTTTTTTTCTCTGTCTGTCTTACGTTCCTTTTTGTATCCAATATTACGTGTACAAACTAGGACCAAGAGCAATAGTATTAAACCAGTAACACCAATTAGGAGCAGAAAATGTCTATTAGACAAGTATGAGTCTGAGGAGAATAAACATCCTAATCATCTAAAGAACACTTTACATGCATTATCATAATTTTTTTAAGCTAATAATGTTTTT